GCTGAAATTGAAGATTTTTCAGGGGGTCAAGCCCCCTTGCCTCCCCCCCCCCCCGCTACACCTCTGATATCCAGTTTCTTTTAATACTAAGAAGCTACATTTAATTTATAATGATGTGCAATTTTCCATTTGAGTGTACTCACAGGCATATGAACTACATCACAATATTACAAAACTAAATTAGGTTGTTTAATTAATAGTAGTGTCCCGGACTGGTCAGGTGGGTAGGGCGCTTGACTCGCAATTTGAGGGTCGTGGGTTAGAATCGCCGTTCCACCAAACATGCTCGCCCTTTCAGCCGTGGGTGGTGATGACTAGCTGCCTTCTCTCTAGTCTTGCACGAAATTCAAACCAAACTATAACTAATGGCATAAAAAACATTGCATTATGTAACATTTCAGTGGAAATGTTCTTTATCTGGTACTTTACCTGTTAAATCTCACATATATATATATAAAAATTAAACTATTTTAACCTTTCCAATAACAACATATTACACTATTCTTACTGAACAGATCTGGTCTCCTCTCCTCAACTTGCCGCAAGTATCTGCTGCCCCTCCTACCAAGATATAGGAAATAAAAATCCCTTCTCCATCCTCTCCACCAACAATATTAAACCCTAGACCCGACTCTCCCTTTGCTAATGTCACTTTTCTTGCCTTCCTAAAACAAAAGTGCCCTTTATTAGACAAAATAACATTAGAATCTCCAAACAAATAACGGAAGACATAATATTAGTAATTATTTTTAGATAGCTTGAACAAAATGATACGTAAATAAAGTAAATAAGGTAGATAATATCAGAATTACAACCAAATTTTATGTTTAAAAACAGAAAGCTAACATTTTCCTAAACTTAAAATGTATTTCCAAAAGCTTTCTGGACTTATATTGCCCTCTATCGGAGCAAATATTCTCTCGCTACTAGCCTTGTTACTCCCACTTATTACTGTATACTCAAATGCAAATAATAACGCAGCAACCCTCCACCAATAGGAGTGTGACAATACACCTACTGTAGCTAGCGCCCTCTTTAATGGTGAACATGTTAATCACTTTGAGATTCGTTATAACTAACCAAACCCCGGGAAGTGGGGATGACAGGTGGCAAATGAGAGGAGGTAAGTATCAATCGAAATACATTTTCAATTTAGGAAAATGTTAACCTCCACTCACAAAAAGCAAGAATCCCATACTGAATTGGTGGAGGGCTGGTGAGAAGATGAACCCCTCTTTAGGAAGACCTTGAGGTGTGATAAGGAAGTGAAAACAACACACCAGTGTGAGACAGCACCACTTCTCAGCCAAATATACCCTTCGCCCTTTAGAAATGTGTCGTCAAAACGTAAAGGGCGGGAACTTGGAGGGATCCCCCCCCCCAAAAAAAAACCCAGAAATAATTGGATCCACTGGTGTAGAGTGGCTAGGGATTAGAACGAAATCCACATGTTGAATTTTGGAAGTCAGAAAATGTGAAGATTTTGGCTAATGCAGTCATGTAGTTTATACAAGCTCAAACATTCAAACGTGTTTCTTTATACATTTTGATGTTTTACAATTTGCTTTGAAATGACAGATAACAACAAAGGTTATCTTTACTCCATCGGGTCACACTTAACAATAAAAGCTATGGGTCACAACATATGCTCAAATCAAAGTTAATAATAAAATCTATGAGTTACAACATTTGCTGAAATGACAGTTAACAATAAAAGCTATGGATTTACGGCATATGCTCAAATCACAGTTAACAATATAAACACAGATTACCTAAAGGGGGTATCTTCTTTCTATTGATAATTTACTTAAAATAATTATCAAGTTACAATAATCTGTCAAAACAAATCAAAATCATGTTAATGTATTTGGCCAGTGACTTCTCACTGGTTGGTTATCAGCTATAAAAAGCATGCGTAAAGAGTATACTTTAAATGAGCAAAGTTCATGAAACTATAGAAGTTTTGATAAACAGATATGAAATTACTAAAACTATATAATATATACGATTTCTTTTTAGTGCTATTTAATTACAAACAATTAACCCTAAATCAAAATGTCGATCACCTCTTATTCATTAAATAACTGGTGTTACAATATCAATCTGTTCATTCCCCTTTTCTATCATCAATACAGCTACCAGGCGGTAAAAAGAGTTACATTTTCTTTGATACAATTTTCCTTAATTGTTTTCTATGTACGTTAAAAAAAAAAACAGCACCAGAACTGATATTTAGATATGTTATATTTTGACCAACAGGTTTTGTCAAATGACATACTTTTTCACAAGATTTCCCAAGTTAACATTATCCTTTCGGTTGTCACATCTTGTTTACTGTCCACACGGTAGAGCATATTGGCTAGGTAACACATTACTTAAAAACACAGGTAATTAGGCCCCTTCTAATAGCTAGAGGTTTGAGAGTTTGGCTGGTCAAAATATAAAAGAAGGTCCGTGATTCAGGACAAAACAATATAATGGACACCCCATGGTTTTTGCAAATGAAATTCACACTTTATTCAATGTGATCACATTGATGTAATACAAATAACTTAATCTGAATAAACTGAGCCCTAAATGAACGAAGATTATTATAATGATAACAAACCGTACTATGATTAACTAATGTGTTTTAGATATTACAGTCAAATTAAAACAAGGTTAAAACAAATTATGAAGAAAATGAAACTTTGAGTAAACGCTGACAAGCAAATTGGCAAGGAGGACAAAGAAAAAGCACTTAGTTTTTTTGTTGTTAGATGTGCCTTTACAGACATGGCTGTCAACACACGGTGAAAGAAAATGGAAAACAAATCTCACACAAGAAGCAACAATGTTCTATAATACATCCAATTACAATCAGGAGTAACTTCTGGAAAATCTTTCCATACACTGGCCACAAATATACTAAAAAAAAGTGTGAACCAGGCATGGTTTAGTTTTTAGTGTGTGCGTGTGTGAAGCTGAAGATTCATGGTTTATATCCAACTGTCACAATAAAACACGCTTCACACTTTAGGAACCATGGATATGCTAAAAGAGTGATGGTCAAATTCCACTGTTGGCAGTAAATGTTATTGAATAGCTTTCTTTCCTCTAGTTTATCAGCTCAAAATTATGGAAGGCTATGCACAAATAGCTCTTGTATAGCTTTACGTGAAAATACAAATACAAGATAGAAATACCAAGAAGGTGCTGGCCATTACACACAATTGCCTCAAGAAGTGATTAAGGTAATCCTGACACACAATTGCCCCAAGAAGTGATTAAGATAATCTTGACACACAATTGTCCCATGGAGTGATTAAGATAATCCTGACACACAATTGCCCAAAAGAGTGATTAAGATAATCCTGATACACAATTGCCCCAAGGAGTGATTAAGATAATCCCGACACACAATTGTCCCAAGGAGAGAATAAGACAATCCTGACACACAATTGCCCCAAGAAGTGGTTAAGATAATCCTGACACACAATTGCCCCAAGGAGAGATTAAGATAATCCTGACACACAATTGCCCCAAGGAGAGATTAAGATAATCTTGACACACAATTGCCCCAAGAAATGGTTAAGATAATACTGACACACAATTACCCCAAGATGTGATTAATATAATACTGAATGCTTCCTGCTTTAGAGATTACCCTCCTGGGACCAAGTTTCAAAACTATTCTCATGATAAGTTTCAGAACAAAAACATATGCAGCTTTTATTTTGTATGTTACTAAATTCATTGATTATAGGAGAGTAATGTAACAGTAGGAATATATTTACAACTAGAAAAGTTATGTTAATTATGTATCCATTCTAATACTGAAACTCAAGACTGGCTGTTTACATTTATAATCCAATCGCTGTGTTTCCTCCAACTCATGAGCCCAAAGCGTTAATAATAATGCACTACAGACTTTAATCTTTTTGTTTTTCTTTCTTTTCTGTTGCAACTCACCAACAGCTGATGACCAAATAAATGTTTAAATAACATATCAAGTTTTTATATTAAAACTTTTTCAGTTACTTTGATAATAAGATTTTGTTTGGAGACAGTGGAAACGCAAAACTGATTTATAATTCATGATAATACATTTTATTTTTCATCAAGGCTTGTAATAAAAATGTAGCTTTACTATTTTTTTTTGGCAGTATATGCGTTTTCCTTGTTGTTGCTGTTTGTAGAAAACCTATTATAAACTTATTTCAACAACAACAACAAAATAACAGTAATAAAGTAATTCGATGTTTCAACCTAAGCAGCACCAAAAAAGCCAAGTCAGAGACCCTAAGATTCGGGTATAGCCATCCTTACGGTTTAATTATTTAACATTGGATTGTTTGTTTGTTTGAAGTTAAGCACAAAGCTACACACTGGGCTATCTGTGCTCTGCCCACCACGGGTATCGAAACCTGGTTTCTTGCGTTGTAAGTCCGCAGACATACCGCTGTGCCACTGGGGGGCTTACCAGAGGAAGGGAAGCCAGTTAACAGCATCCGCCTTGTCTGGCTCTTTAAAACAAATAACATAATTGATTGCCACTTTAGCAATTAATTGAAGACATCTCGAACCTTGGATCACTCGATACGCAACCAAACAATAACTACTATGCCACTCCCGAATCCCCAAAATACACAGAAATAGAAGTAAGCTAGTTAAGACTGGTAAAACGTCTAGTAGGCGTCTGGTCATCATACATCTAGTATGATGACCAGAACGTCTAGAACTGTCTAGAACGTCTAGTAGGCGACTGGTCATCATACTTTATATAGATGATCTACACAAATAGCTATATATAACATTCAAAATTAAAGATGCCAACATTCACGAATGGATGCAACACGTATCTGCCACGCAATTCCAACATGGTCAATTTTGACACCAGAAAAATCATGAAAGTCACAGAAAAAGCGAAAACTGTCTATATCACTACTTGGGACATGCAAAAAGGTATCTCTGTACCAAATCCCATGTAGGTTCGTTGGTATACACGTGAATAGTTCACGAAAATTTCAAATTGTGCTTTCCTCGCTGAAAAATTGAGCAAGAGATAATAAGATCCTAAATTGTCTATATCTCTATTTGGGGACCTGCAAAGATTATCTTTTTACTAAATCCCACGTAAATTGGTCAAAATATGGCCAAGAAATATACCAAATCTCCTAAAATTATGGGTTTATTTAGCCTTTTGACCATCCCTAAAATGAACAAAAATAGGCATATCCCAAATTTTTTATGTAATGTACGGGACCTATAAAAAGTATCTTTGTACCAAATCCCATGCATATTCGCAGAAATACGGTGGAGCAATTGTCAAAAAACCCTAAAATTATAATTTTTTGTCATTTTAATCCCCCTATAATTATTAAAAATGGGCAAGTCCACCATTTTTTAACAATGTGTAGGACATGTAGTAAAGTATCTATGTCCCAAAGCCCACGTAAACTCGTCAAAATATGACCAAGTAATTAACCCAAACCCCAAAATTATGTTTTTTTTTGTGAGTTCTGACCCACCCACCCTAAAAAGACTCAAAACGAGCAAATCCAACATTTTTTTCTATGCCATTGTATTGGACACAGGAAAATTTATACTTGCGCCAATTTTAATCTTGATTGCTGTAAATATGACCCCACATAAGCCCAAAATATTTTTGGGGTCCTTGACCTTTGATTTAATAAAAAAAAATCCTTAAAAAGGACTAAAAAAGTTAAAAAAGGTGTTTGGAAGAAGAAGAAAGAATAGAAAAACAGTATGTCCAGAGGTGTAGTGGGGTGGGAACGAGTGGGCACGGCGTACTTGTACTTTTTTTGGCGTACCGCCACTATTTCGAACGACTTCCACCTTACACGATTATGTCGCGTTCGGACATTTATTTATTTAGCACTCTCTGCTGAGACATAAAAATCAATTCGATGGACATTCAAGTAACGTTATAGGTATAAATAACGTATGTCTGCAATTTTCTTTAGTTTGTTTGTTTGTTTGTTTTGAATTTCGCGCAAAGCTACACGAGGGCTGTCTGCGCTAGCCGTCCCTAATTTAGCAGTGTAAGACTAGAGGTACGGCAGCTAGTCATCACCACCCACCGCCAACTCTTGGGCTACTCTTTTACCAACGAATAGTGGGATTGACCGTCACATTATAACGCCCCCACGGCTGAAAGGGCAAGCATGTTTGGTGTGACGGGGATTAGAACCCGCGACCCGCAGATTGCGAGTCGAGTACCCTAACCACCTGGCCATGCCGGGCCCCAATTTTCTTTAGATACTTTGTAATAACCGCAATATTACTATCCTCCGAAAGCATCAACAGAAATTATCCAATTTCATACAGTTTTTCAAGTGTACAATGTATAATTAGTTTAAACTTGTTTCATTTAGTTGAAGTCTTCAGTGGTAACAAACGAATAAAAAAAAAATTCAGCAAATATTTTCACAACAACAATTTTGTTTTAAAAACTGTTTGTTCGGTGTAAAATTCGGTGCCCATAATTTAAAATCAGTTCATAAAGGAAGTTAAATTATTAGTGTTTATGAAAACGTATTTCTATGCTGTAGTTCCATCTGGTGATGATCAGATACCTGGATTGTTTTTTTTTCGGTAATGATGCAGACTACAAAGATAGTTGATAGATAAGAGGAAGTTTTTTTTCCCCCAAGTGTTTTTTTAATATTTCGTTCACAATTTCGAGAACTGACTTCAAGTGTTTCAATCTACGGACTACAATAACGAATAAGCATTAAACGATCCCTGGTGTATCAGCGGTTACGAACTTAGAACGCTAAAATCTGGGGGTCGAACCCCGCTGTGGACAGAGCACAGATAGCCCATTATGTATTAAATATCACATCATTCACAAGCTTATAGGTTGTTGTTACAATGCCAGGCACATTGCAGGTAATAAAACTTGGCACATAATCTTTGAAAAATGTCGAGAATACCATCATCTGGAATATTTACTACCTCGAAAGGGGACCAAAGGCCTTCTAGAGGGGTCAGTGGTTTTAACCATTCATACCCCTACACAGTAGTATGTTGTCTTTCAGTCAATCAGAAGACACAGAATGACGTCGTATAAGGATCGTTTAATGTCGCAACTTGTACTGTCGTGACGTCAGTAAAATGTGCGCATGCCATGAATCACGAGACGAATTATACACTTTGTAGGCTACAGCACAGCATGACATACGAACTTCATTTTTTCGTTTACTTATGAAACAGAACACTTTCGGGGACCCTACGGAAGTACATTCAATATTCACACGATAGTTCAATCACAAACGATACCGATGTTACAGTCATTTAATATACATGGGTACAACAACAACAACAACAACAGAAGCCACAATTATAAAACAACCCAAAGAAGGCAGTTCATGAACCAACAACGTCCAAAACACTTGGTTTGGCAGTAAATGTGTAGGAGTTGAAAGTGAAAATTACGTTTTCTTTACATTCCAATTAAAAACTGAAATGCCATTCTCTTCAATCTAAAAGATTTTTTTATAGGGTATCAGCTTCTTTATTTACGAACTAGTGCATATCAACATGGTGTTCGCCATAACTGACGCAATTGTTTTGTACGTGATAAAACCGTGATTTCCACCTCATTAATTCCTTTTAGATCCTTACTGGGGCAGATGATAGCCATATAAACACTCGTGTTACGTACCTATATATTCTCGGTTGTCCACATAATAAATAGTGACAAAGAAAAGTATTTTGGCTTTATGAATACAGATTTGTTTGTTTACAGTTTTTGCGCGAAGCTTCGTTTTATTATGATGGTAAGTCATTTATTACCTTACGTACAACTGCTTGCGAGTTGGTGCAGTAGTACGGTTGTAAGTCAACTATTACGTTACATACACCTGGTTGTGAGTTGGAGTATTAGTATGATTTTAAGTGAACTGTTACTTTATATAGCGTTGAAGCAGCAACACAGTTTATTTGAGAATAATATGCAAAAGCTAACTGAAGAAAAAAGCAGTTCCAAATTTTCCCTCAGAATCTAAAACGTTTTCCGTTGTTTCCTCCCAAAACACTAGGAGAAATTATGGGTTCGTATCTCATCATAGTAGTCGATACGATACGTATCTAGATACAGAAGTTTTACCAGTGGTTTGTTACAAAGTTTGACAGTCTTGTCTGTAATTTATTACCTGTATTACTAATATTGTCTTTTGGTTTGATATTTCATTGGTGGTAGTGTTCAGGGTCACTGATGAGGAGTGAAATTCTCCGAAACTAGTCTGGCTCACAGACACACACACCCAAATGAAAGAATAGACCATTCCAAGCTTTTACTTGATGTTAAACAAATGTTTAAACAACTCTATTTATTCAACATTGTCTTATATAAATACTTCACTCTTTACAGTGCTTTTTCAAATTATCATGTTTGATCAACTAAATGACAAAATAAAAATATGTAGGTGTTGATAAATATCATGGCTATAAAAAAATAACATTCCCATTTACAATCATGCACTGATAGGCAAGCTGGTCATATTACAGTAATATGTGCTTGTTGAACTGGACTTGGAAAATCTCTTCTGTGCCATACAGCACATTGGTGATATTTTTTAGCTTTAAACCCTGATAATACAAAAATCGATACGATTTATGTGTCGTCACGATATTTAGCAAGCTTTCAGTAAACATTATAAGTCTTTTGTAGGGAGAAAATCAGAATTTCTAATAAAGTATTTTTGCTAAAAATTAATGATTCAATAAAGGAAGATGAGTATTGATTACTACATGTTGTCTTCATTTATTTTATCGAAAATATTACATGAAAAGAAACATAACAATAACAGAATAGATAGATATTAACTCCAGTAAAAAGTTATGATTTGATAAGATCGTGCGAATGTTTAAAATTATTCATCTAAATTTACAAAGTAGCTACTAGATGGCACTCTCTCTTCATAAAACAGGGGAATATATTTATAAACAAATTAATAAGATTGACCACAGTGCGTGATTTAATAAAATAATAATATTTTACTTACTTTATGCAATGACTTCTAAGCCGAGAACATTATATATTGTTTTGTTAATTTTCACAAAAGACTACTTCTTAAACACACAAGAAGAGAAATACAGTACTCTTGCCTTGTGATATTTTCATCCGCTATGACCATGGAAGGGTATGTACTGTCTGGAGGCTCCTGAAGATGTTCTGTGATTGAGACGTTTGCTGAAATAAAAACTTGGCTAGTTGAATTACTTACGAAAGGTGTATATCTATGTTTTTTACTGTCTATTAAAGTATGTCATTTTGTGTGATAATTTTGGAGAAAACAATGTTCACTCTCCAGATGTGTTCATAAAATACTATAGTAACAACAAGATGCTATGCTCAAATGAGTTATCTTTATCGCATTAGATAACTAACATTATATATTGTTACGACAGCGGAAGTCACGCGACGCACGGAGCATGCGCGCTGGAGTTTCTCGAAGGATCATGAAGGCCCGAGTGCATTCGAGGCGCCCTCTTTTTAATATATAAGCCTGGCAAGAAATACCAGCGTGATGGGCAGATAGACTGAATAGATAGATAGTCAAGCGAACAGTAGGCACCGTAAGTAAAGTGTGTGAATCATTGTGATTTATAGCGTGTATTATAAATGTTGTTAAGTTTAAAGTGACTGTGGAAATTCTGTGTATTACTAAAAGTTGTATCGAGAAAGAATAAACTGGTTTAACCAAGAGAGGACTTGTATCGCTGAAGTTCCTCGGAAATAATTTCTACCGGAAATTAACAAACCAATGGTTGCCTTGCTTGTGTGTGTTTTAATCTGTAGTTCAACGGTTGCCTTGCTTGTATCTGTTTTAATGTCTTTTGATGACATATTTGTATGAATAATTTCAAATTTATTGAAAGCAGTCAGTTGTTTCTGGAGTCTAATTACTCATTGTATAGAGTTTGACTGCCACAGAAGATATTGAGTGAATTGTAGAGAGTTATACAACATGAAGATGAAATAGCAAAATTCAAACCTTCCAAAATTACTGTTCAAGACAAATAACTGTGCAGGTGGGAATATGAATAATTGTATTACTCCAAAAATAGTGGGTGGACCCATCCACTCACAAGCCAACACTGGTAATATTTAAAGCATATAGTGTTTATTTTTTAATTTTGTACTTGCTGTAAGACACAGATTCCAATGTTTGGAAATTTCTTTCTGTTTTCTTGAAGGTTGGTGAAAAAAAACTGGAGAATGTCACTCACGAAGAAGCTGTTGCTGCTTTGAAAGCTACAGCAGACAAAGTAGTTCTGACCATAGCTAGATCAGGTTACATCAATCATACTTTATCTGTTTCAGAACCTTGTCAAGAATACACTCCACGTACATTTACCCCACCTTCTTGTAAGTAAGGCTTTGGAGTTGTTCAAAAATTTCAGATAATTATTTATTTACATATTATACTGTAATGTTTTTGCTGGATGTAATACAGTTACATTTGTACTGTGTGAAACAGCAAACATCATTGGTTGAAATTTTGAACTATAATTTATTCATATTGTTACGTATCTGCTTAAACTACAGATTAAAACACACACAAGCAAGGCAACCATTGAGCTACAAGATTAAAACACACACAAGCAAGGCAACCATTGAGCTACAGATTAAAACACACACAAGCAAGGCAACCATTGAGCCACAGATTAAACAACCCAAGCAAGGCAACCATTGAGCTACAGATTAAACAAACCCAAGCAAGGCAACCATTGGACTACAGATTAAAACACACACAAGCAAGGCAACCATTGAGCTACAGATTAAAACACACACAAGCAAGGCAACTATTAAACTACAGATTAAAAACACACAAGTAAGGCAACCATTGAGCTACAGATTAAAACACACACAAGCAAGGCAACCATTAAACTACAGATTAAAACACACACAAGCAAGGCAACCATTAAACTACAGATTAAAACACACACACAAGCAAGGCAACCATTGAGCTACAAATTAAAACACACACAAGCAAGGCAACCATTAAACTACAGATTAAAACACACACAAGCAAGGCAACCATTGAGCTTTAATAATTAAACATCAAATATCACATGCCAACTTGCTACATTAACTAAATGAATTTGAATTGCACAAAGTTAAATTTGAAACTAAAGCCTTCATACAAAGAAATACCAACATACAACCCAATCAATTACGTTTCAACTACCTGCTTAGTTTCAACGGTTGTTTAAGCTACTTTTAACTAAATTTCAAGAGCACTAAACTTACCAGTCTCTCAAAACAATTCAGTCAAATAATACAGTCACCTGATGACACAAGAAAATTACAAAATACATTCAATTTCAATAACAAAGAACTTACAGCAATCAATTTATCCCCTATCTGGAGAATTCCTTGAGAGAAGGCTGTACCTCCTTCCATGACTTTGGTGATGAAGATGCCATTTTCTTCTGGAATGTGCTCATTTCCTATTCCTCCTGCAATACTGAACCCCAGGCCCTTGTTCTCTTTGAGCAGCTCCACTTTCATGACATGATGGTGATGATGCCTTCGTTTCACAAACTTTGAAGATAAATCATCAATAGTAAAAAAAAAAAATAGAAAAAGTAATTTTAAGTAATATATTTTTTTAGTATTGATAAGTTTCAGGTCATATTAGGCTAACTGTCAAAGTAGAAACAGTATGCATTTGGAGAAAATTATAAAGGTGGATACAAAGAAACCCTCCTTACCAATTGCACTACATTTCCTGCCCACTTCAGAGCATCGACAGCAACAGAATGAGGTACATCAAGTAACTCGGTGCCATTTACTTTGATTATAATGTCATTTACCCTACAAAAAAGAAAAAAAACTTAAACATGAATACAACAGATTAGTCAACTATATATATATATATGTGTGTATGTATATATACGTATAAGATGTAATATTTGTTGTGTATTTTGATCAATAAATGAAAACCCAAATGGTACCAGCATAAGCATTGACGGCCTAAAAACTTTCAACATGCATCAGAGGTGAATCAGATCTTTATACTCCTGGAAATTGTAATTTATAGTTTCTTCCCATTACACACTTACCGTATGTGTCGGTGTATAAGACGCA